AGACCCTGGCTCTCGCCACCGGTTGTACAGCTCTCGCCACAGCGGGTGTCTGGACTTCGGCAAGTACTCCAAGCATTACCTAAGCACAAATGCTACACAACAGAAATATCAAATCAGTTGAGGCTTCCTAATCCCCTCTCTGTGGAGGGCTGATTTGACTCCAAAACTCCTTTAAAACTCATTAAAATATTCTGTGCAAGCAACAATTTCCTTTGCTTCTGCTCCCAAATCAAATGGAACAATCTTCTGGGAAATAAGAAACTGTAGGTGGAAAAAATGGCATTCAGATAAGATTTTCCCTTAAACTATTTCTCTGTAGTATCCTTCTGATGGCATGATGCTTGCATGATATTTAACCCTTCATAAGAACATAGAAACTCAGATTTTTTTGAAAGGCTGAGACCATTAGCAGAGAGCGGACACTTTGTTTCCAGGTGAACATCACAAGATTGTGCTGTAGGAAGAGAAACAGATATCCTTCCTCCCTGAACACCTGAATATTTATACTACATCTGTGAAACTGTTACAACAGTTTGGGAGAAAGTTGCTGTTCAGGACAAGCAAATATAGTAGGCCCACAGTTCTTGCTCTGTCAGGCAGTGTGCTCTGAGCTCTAAAAAGTATTCCTCAGAGATCAGGACACAGTTTTATTCAGTAATGTGAAAAAACCCTAAGGAAAGCTAGATTCCCGTTCTAAAATATTGGGAAATCAAAGCAAATATCTGCAGTAGTCTGAAGGCAAAAGATAAAACAGACGAGGCTTTTTTTTCATAACCACAGCGAGTTCCTCTTTTTCAGATTTAATTGCATTCAGATGCTCACTTATCATTCTTCACGGAGCACTCACCTTCCTGAGTAAACAGGAAAAGAGGCGGATAGTGCCATATTTGGGTTCCTCTCAGCCCCAGAAGTAATGATCTAATTACTTGATCAAATAGTCCCTAGAGCATGGACTAGACAAGCTACTTGTTTTCATGTGAGGCTAATTGCATTCTATACTCAGCCTCCTGGCATCTCAGCTATGCGACGATTTCCAAAGCCGGAGCAATAGACCGGCAGCCTGGAGACCAGCCCCACCAGGAAGCTGCCCTCGGTGCTGGATCATACCCTCGCACCTTCCCCGGGTAGTTGTGGTAGGGAATGATGAGAGGGGAAAGTTGGGTGTAATGGAGCCCCAGACTTTAATTGCAACAAAGTGCAGGAGAGTGGGCTGGGAAGGCCTTGCCGTGCTGAGAATATGGGGAGAATCTTTGATTTCTATGAAAATGCTTTGCTCACCAAAATGTGGGTAGTGTACTATATGGGATGCTGCACATAAGCAAAATGAAATACCTGATGCTGACCAGTGCTGGATGCCACAGAGGAAGAAAGCTTACTTAGGAGGCTTTTAGGTAAACCAAAGGATGCAAAGAAATCCAGCGGTGTCATATTTTTAAAGCAGTGTTCGGCAGTTTATGAAATAGTTGTTTTTTTTTTTTTTTTCCTAGCAGAAATACAGTTGAACAGCCCAAAACGGTGCGTATCCAAATGGTTGCACAGGGAAAAATTTCAGTTTGAGATGTTTCCATCAAGAATCATGACATCTGCACATCCTGAAGTTTTGTATTTACGTTAACAATCATGTCTCCGTGACCATGCGGTGTTTCAGGTCTGCAGGCAAAATTTTTATAGTCATAGGAAAATGGCTCCAATCTTGATGTGCCTCCATCTTCGGTAGCTCTTAGTGGTGAAATATGAAGTCTCTCTTGGATTATTTAGAGCCAAAAGTGTTGACCATGTTCTTTTTTACTGAATTTTTCAGAAATATTCTCCTGAGCACCGGAATACAGTGCTCAGGGGGCTCCTCTTCTGCAGCACCAGACAAACCTCTGGGTAGGGGAGTCTCTCTCCTCCTGGGCTCCAGGAACCTCTTCTAGTTCAGGTTTGCGCTCTGTCGTGCTCTTTTCATCAAAGCGCGACCCATCACACCAGCCTCTGGTTCTGCAAGAGACCTTAACGTGTGCCATTTAATAAAATAGATCCCAGAAGTGTCAGATTGGGAAAAAAAATCACTTCTTTTCAGCTCTTTTGCCAAAGAAGGATGGCCACAAAAGGATGTTGCTGTGGGGTCCTGACTCACTGAAGTTAATGTGACTAGTCAAATGACCAAATTGCTCATAAATATAATAGAGATCCACAATTAAGAATAATAATCCAGCCCTCTGATGTTCCCACACAAATGTAGATCAATTTATATCTCCTAAAATGTCTATTTCTTTTAGAAGTCGTTACAATTTCTTGCTAATGAAATATAACAATAGGGTATACAATAACCCACTATAGAAAAGGAGACGTAGGACCGGTCCTCAGCGTTGGTTTTAGAGGTGAGCCTGGAGCCCTAGGAAAGCACGAAGAACTGTACAAACCGGACTATGAGAAACTCCTCAGCAAGATAAGTGTTGGAGGCTGCTGCTGTGAGGGGACCTAAAAGTACTAGAGGACAATTTCTTGCTCAGCGTTACCCAGCAGGGTTAGCTCTAGGATGAGAAGATGGGGAGAGATTAATCTGGCAAAATATTAGGCAGCTAAACCTGAGCTAGTTGCTCTCTGTTCGTTTTACAATCTGTAGGTTCTATTTGATGCAGTCATGGGTGTTTCTCCTCACCCTGAAGCAGATGTCTAACACAAGCAAACCGCACTGTACCAGTCCTTATTTCTTCCTATCATCTATAAAGCCGCCAGTGCAGCAGTATGAGTCTTGGGGGGAGAAACCGCACATGATGCACCGAGTCCGTCCAGCAAAGGAAGAGGAGCGGAAAGACTGAATGAACAACGAGGTGCTGCTGGGAGGATGTCAAGAGCAGTGCAAATCCATCAGCTCACATGGGCTTGGGATGGGAATTCCAGTCTCCCCATGTAAACACTAGAAAGGAACCAGTGCTGATGCCTGTAATTCTACAGCGGGACTCCTGGTTTCCAGTGTAAACAGGATGCACGGCTCATGCTGAATGGGTTGGGGTTTGGTGTGGGTTTTTTATTTTTCATTTAGTATTTGTGTAAGTGATCTCATTAGGGAATTTGGTCACCTAAATATAGTCTGATGGTCACATTCCACCTCCGTGATTGGAATATCTCAGAGAAATAAAGATTTTCTGTGCTGTGGAGCTGAGTGAGATATGATCAGGAAAAGGCCTCAATATGCTAATATGGAGTCCTGGGCCTAAATTCCACTTAAACTGAAGCCCTTTACATTGCTCTGGCAGTGAAAAGTGCCTTCAAAAAGTGTGCCACTTTACTTTGCCCTGAATGGCTCGGAGAGGTCCTTAAGGTAACTGGAGTTGTGTCCCCATTGGCACTGCCGAGCATGAATGTTGTTAACAGAGGGTGGAGAGGAATGGGTTGCGTGTATTTAATCGTTAAAAAGGTGTTAGAGAAACGGATACCTCAACAGTTTGTAGAAGCGCTGATGGCTCACTGCAGGATTAGCTGTTTCTTACCATGAGAATTAGGACATGATAGTTCTCATAGTAAATCAGAACAATTGTCCATCTTCCCTAATAATAGCTATCCATGCTCATTGCATTGAAAAAAACCTAAGGTATCATTCAGACATTTATGGAAATAAGGAGATGAAAATATCCAAGCGTATTAAATCTTCTTTGAAAAGCAATCAATTCGGTACCTGATTTTTTTTAATTACTGTGTCATTCCCATTGGGAACCACATGACTCGGGTGTTAGGTTGAAGCAGAATTTGCTCAGGATCACATGCTTTTCCTGGAAGAGGGTTTCCATCAAAAATTAGGATGTAAACAAATATGTAAAGCATGTATAGGTGGAGCCTGTTCAGGTAGTTAGTGGTCAGGTGTCCATACCCCCGGGCTCCCTTGTTTCCGGAGATGACGCCATGCAAGCCATATAAAAAGGTTGCATTTTGATGCTCACAGCAGTTCATTTGATTTCTCCCTCACTCACCTGCATTGGTGAACGGGTAAGTCTTTCTTGGATTCATCAGGGAATAACGCGATGGCTGTGTTACTCGGTTGTTCTGGTCAAAAGACTGTATTACTGATCACAGGAGAGCTTTGCTTCTGGTGTTACTGTTCCAGGGTTTGTCCTGGAATGGGGGAGAGGATGTTCGACTCTTATTTAAAGTTTGCTCTTCCTTAAGTGGCTTGCAAATGTCCTGTCACCTCTTCAGAAACTGCGACTGTCTCTCATCATTCTTCGTATTCTATCTTCATTAATTTTTTCATACCTCATTAAGTCTGGAAATTAAATAAATTAGTGGCTGCTGCAGAGTAAGTCTTGGGACTTCCAAAGAGATGGGCGGGAAGACGCATTATCTGGAAGAAGGAATCTGCAGAATACCTGAGGGCAAAGCTGCAGGAGACATCTGGGAGAAGTCAAGACGAGGAAATGAATTGAAATAGGAGCTGCAACCTCTGGGCCAACCCTTCTTTTATGAAAGGATGGGCCTATTAACTCTGATACAACTCCAGTGGTGTACCATGATATACAGCTGGAGGATTTGGAATAGCGTCTGAATTTTTCGTCTTTGGGCTTTATCCTTGGGGATTAGCAGTTCAACGTCTATGCAAAGGGGGATGTGCTCTGTGGTGTGTGTGAGGAACTGAAGAAGTGATAAGCAAAAGATGGGCCCTGGAACGTCTGCTGATTTAATTAAGAAAATAAGGAAATGAACTATTTTCATGTTACGACTTCTGCAAAGCTTAACTGTAAAATTCAGGCTTTATGGCTGTAGTCTTCCTAACAGTGATGTTTGCAGGTTCCCAAGAAAGGAAGGAATAATCTGGCAGTGTTAGTTGCATAAGTCTGAATCCACAAATCATTCACACATGCAATTTTTTCTAACACTCCTTTTCTCAGTCCAACAGCTAACTGCTACACATGTTTCAAGAGCTCAGGTTGTGAATTGTGGCTTAAGGAGAAAGGACAAGTGTCTTGATTTTGTATCTCTCTTCTTATCTTTGTCTTTAGCTTTACCAGCACCTCAGAAGGATGTCTTGCTACGAGCAGTGCAAACAGCCCTGCCTGCCCCCTCCCATTTGTGTGCAGAAATGCAGCAAGTGTGTGGAGCCCTGCAAGACGGTGTGCGTGGAGCCCTGCAGCAGCGTCTGCGTGAAGCCGTGCCCCACGCCGTGTGTGGAGGTCTGCCCAACACCCTGTGCCACCCAGTGCACCACGTCCTGCACCACCCAGTGCGTGGATCCTTGTGCCACCCAGTGCACCACATCCTGCACCACCCAGTGCGTTGAGCCCTGCGGCATCCAGTGCTGAGCCCTGCGCGTGGATCCTTGTGCCACCCAGTGCACCACATCCTGCACCACCCAGTGCGTTGAGCCCTGCGGCATCCAGTGCGTTGAGCCCTGCAGCACCCAGTGCGTTGAGCCCTGCAGCACCCAGTGCGTTGAGCCCTGCAGCACCCAGTGCGTTGAGCCCTGCAGCACCCAGTGCGTGGAGGTCTGCCCCCCTAAGTGCATCGATGTCTGCATAAAGCCATGTGCCACTCAGTGCCCAACCCATTGCACCACCCAGTGCGTAGAGCCCTGCGTCACCCAGTGCGTGGAGCCCTGCCCACCCCCATGCGTGGAGGTGTGTGCCACCAAGTGCGTTGATTCGTGCGAGACGGTGTGCCTGGAGCCGTGCAGCACGGTCTGCTCTCACCCATGCTAATCGCCTTAATGCACGAGCCTCGCATGCAGCCCTGATGTTTCGGTGCATTGCAATATCCACAGGCTCATGAGCATCCACGGAATGAAAAACAGGTTACAGACCCACCTGCGACGTACTGAGACCTCTCCTGACCCGGTTACCCCACGCTCTCTTTGTCTTGGGAAATATTTTTCTGAATGTTTCCAGCCTATATCTTTGCTTCTTAGGATATTTCTGCTACTGCTATCTCAGCACCTTTTTCTTGGTAACTGCATTTGGCCAATAGTATTCTGCTGGGCATCTGGGGAAGTTATTTAGCAATGGCTGTGCTGTAAGCAGTTGATGTTGGAAGATGTATCCCCTTCCATTCTTTAATTCTCATCTTGTCTTTTAATGTATGTCCTCTTGTCTTTTAATGTCTATGTGTAGCAATAAAAATTGACCATCGATGGCATAATGTGTCTTCTGTCTTTCTTTCATCTCCCCGTTTCCATGTCTTTGGACCCAAGAACATCTTCCTTTAGTTTTCCTTCTAAAAGCTGTTATGGTTGTGGAGGATTTGTGCCTGCAACGCAGTGCTGTAAACAGAGAGCGCATGCATTATAACGTGGAGCAATGTCTTCTAAAACCATAAACAAAACATCATCCGGTCAATACTTTTCTGACCGATATAAAAAAAAATTAGCTTTGTCCTACTTGAAAATAATGATAGAAATTTAATTTTCACCTTTATTAATGATGGAGTTTTGATCTTTATATCTCTGGATTTTGGAGGCAAATCTTAGAAACTGTTAAAAGGTGAATTTAAGTGGAAGAAAGCCCCAAATCCAAGAAAGAAGGAATTGAAACGTTCTTGCTGGGATTTTAATTATTTCACAAAAACATTCTGATGGAGACGAAAACGGTATTTTTGATGAATTCTTCCCATGTTCCTCACTGACTAAATATAGAATTTGGCTTCAGGAGATGAATCTTTTTGTGGTTCAGGAACAGGTCTGAGCCCTGCAAGATTGCAGTTGTGTTCCCAGGTTTGCTGCAGATACTTTGTGTGGCTTTGGGCAGGTCTCACTCTTTTTATCTATCCATTCCCCATCTGCAACGAGGAGAAGTCACATCCCTGACTGATAGAGTGCTTGGCATTTCGGGTTCATTAACGTCTGGCAGGCACGATAATATTTTAATTCACTTATAAATGCATCTTGTATTTTTGGAGTCATAATTTTGACACTGAAGGAGGCCCATTGTCTGGAGGGACGTTATACCCATTTAAATGCTGGGTTTCAGAGATAATGCTCCCATTGTCTTCCATACTGTGCATGTGACTTGCTTACCTCTGCCTCCATGATGGCCACACAATTTCCATGTCTGGGATGTAGAGAATTGCTATCCACCTACCATATCATTACAGCAAGGGTGGAGAACATCTAATCTAGAAAAGAAAAGAGTTATATTTAGGTGTGTGTAAACACTGTTACCAAAGCAGCTTTTAATGAAACCTTGTGTGCAGGTGTAGAGAGTTTGACAGTAGATTCCTTTTTGTGTTATTTCTGTCAACACTGAAAGGTGACACCATCAAACAGGAATAATGATAGGCAAAACATGTCGCAGTAAGGCAAACAAATTCTACACCTGAACACACCTTTCAGTTCAGATAGACAAAGCAGGGGTAGGTGGACCAGGTATTCAACAGCACGAAAATGGAGGGGGAGACTAGGAACGTGCACCTCTAACTCCTACTGTTGAATGCAAACCTCTGGGGACTCAGCAATGAACTCTGCCTCCCTAATAACTGCTTGCTGCTGCCACTTTTGTAGTGTCCAGTGCCCAATTTCAGGCATGGAAAAAGTCTTAGGAAGTCATATGCAGCTACTAATGAGATCCATCCCATAGGTTAGTCACCTATGACTGATTTCCAAGCATCTTCATCCAGCTCTATCAGCTGTGTTAGTCATTTAAATTTTTTTCTTCTCTCCCTCTCTGCTGCGAGCATTGCACTAGGCGCCGTAATCATAAACGGGAGCACGCAGCTCTGAAAACCCCAGAGGCAGTGGCAGAAGAGACCTGTTGGGTTGCGCTCATCATGCTTCCTGTGCCCGTAGGAAAATGTGTTGCAAAAGCCCTGACACACTGCTCTCCTATGCCCCTGTGGCTAGTCCTGAGCATTGCTGAGATTCTCCTGTATATTTACAACAAATTAGTGACTTTTGGTCCATGTCAACCTCAGGGTCATTAAGACCCCTGGTAAATCAGGCATGAGTGAGGGATGTTAAGCTATGGGGTGATGTTTTTTCCATTAGCACCTTCTGCTCTCCTACACGCAGTGGAAGCCGTGTCCATCATCTCTCCGTGTATCACACATCTGTAATGGAGACCGGACTGTAATTCATAGGGCTGAATGCGACCCCACAGGAATTGGGGCATTGAGGAATACTCAAGGGAGGCTTGAACTACCTTTTCCATTAGAGCTAAAGGCAATGTTTCAGTTGAAACATTTTCTCTGTTCCTTCCTTGGAAGAATTTCAAGGGGATCGACATTTTTCTGAAACACGGATCCATCCCCAGAAAAAAGAAATTCTGCCACAACTTCAGCAAGCCAAACCCAGTGTTTGTAAAAAAGAAGTTTTAGTTGCTTCACTGAAAAGCTGCGTGACAGTGCAAGACAAAATAAGGGGAAAGCTTTCTGATTTCTTGGCAATATAAAATGTTTCATTCCCCTTTTGGGGAAGGAAAATAGAGAAGGACAGAAGCAAAACCCAAAAACACAGACTGCCAAACACAGACCTGCTGCCCTTCCCAGGAGCTGGGATGCAGCACACAGACCTCCTCCACCCTACTCGGATTTATGCCAGCTGGAGATCTGTCCTGGTGATCACAGGCAAAACTCTCAGGAAACACCTAAACTTTATGCAAACATGTTCTGCTCACTCCGGAGCGGATCTGAGCCATCTCTCAAACCTGAGTTCAGTTGTGGGATCTTTGCCCAGAGTCGGGACAAGATGAATTATTAATAAATTAGCCAGTTATTACCAGATTGGGTGTGCCTTGCATTAAAAACAACAAATCCCCCGCACCTGAAAGAGGAAGCATCTCTCACAGACCTTGACTGAAGTCCAGGTGTACGGAGGTGTCAGTGGAGCAGGTTCTGGTTGTGAAAGATTCTGGTCATCAAGTTAATCTGTTGTCATCAGCTCCCAGGGCTGACTTCTGAAAGCATATAAAAGCCTCCCATTTGGGAGGCTCTTTAACCTGAGTGGCTTCTTTTTCCCTTCCTCCAGCAGTAGGTGATACCAGGTGAGTCCTTCTGTACACATTTAGCTACATAGGTGAGGGATTCTGGTGCTCCGTTCTTGGGAGACGGGGGGATTTTTCTTTCTTTTGTTTCCTCTAGTAACAGTTTCAGTTGCCTCCCTGCCAATTTTGCCTCCATACAGGTGAAAGCCATATTATGTTATTTTGAGACTTTCTGAGGCTCCAGACAATGGCTTGCTGGCTCTTTGGACCAGCAAACCCTTGTCAACCCTCATAATTTTTTTCCCAACTGGTAAGAATAACCACCGGGTATTGAGTATCAGCTACCAAAGGATGGCATCCACCGGCACCTGTTGAGCAGCTGCGGGCTGATCACTGCAGTCTCCTGGATCTCCAGGGCTCCGAGTTTCACCTCTTTGTATAAGATCGTATCATCACTGAGCAGGAGGATGGTTCACCTGCATTTAATGGCCAGAGACATGGCTCCTGCTCTGAGGCTCTCAATGAACTAAGCGGAGACGTGGCTGTTGCCAGAAGGGATTGTTATCAAACGATTTTTCTCTTTCAAAACCGTTTGCAATACTGAAATGTCACTCGCTTTCTGCTCCTCTTTGACTAGTCTTAAATATTGCTCTGAGGCTCTCCTTGAACTCAGCATACTTTCATTAAAATTTGTATTGCTTCTTAGCTTGTCAAAGCTGAAATGTTCAGAAAATAGTGAGCAGAGGGAAAGAAGGAAAACCCCTCTCATGGTTTCTTTTCCCTCCGCCTCTGTAGCTATTTACCTGTTTGGATCACAACTTTGTTAGGACGGTGCTTGCCTCTTATATTCATTTATGCTTATATACAGCTATGCCCTGAGGCCTCGGCAGCGTGGCTGATCTCCATAGAGGCTAACTGTGACGGGAGCCCAGAAAAGCGATATGGGGCAGCTACAGCAAACTGGAGTCACCAACAGAAATTTGGTCTGAACAGCAGCATCCTCAGGGATTTCCAAGGGGGGGGTGGGGTGTGTTTTTGCTGGTAGGATTAACTTTTAAAGGCTCTTCACTGTTGGTTTGATGTCAAAGCTGAAGAACTGACTGAAACTGTAATATCCAGAAAGGAGAAGTGTGTAGGGCTTAAAATAACTGAAATGGCACCTTGGTTCTCTTCCAGGGTTAGCAAAGATGTCTTCCCACCAGCAGAAACAGCAGCAGCAAATACCTTCAAAATGCCAGGAAAAGTGTCCTCCAAAGTGTGTGGAGCAATGCCAGCCCCCAAAAGGGCAAGCCAAGTGTCCTGTGAAGACCATCCCACAGCAGCAGCAGCAGCAATGCCCAAAGCAGAAGTAGCACTAACAGAAACGGCCACAAAATGCCATGGAAGATGCAAACGCTTATTTCCCAGCTGTCCTTCTGTCTGCTGGCTCTGCTAGAATAGCTAGAAATTTGCATCACGCCTCCTTTGTTTGCAAGTAGAAATTGCTTTACAAAGAGATGCAATTCATTAACTTGGATTTATTCATCCGCTACTATAAAAAAAAAAAAGTTGTGGGGCCATTTTATTCTGATCTTTAAATTGGGACATTCTACAATAAAATTATAAGTAACCTCATTACTTGCTTCCTGATATTTTTTTCACTTTACTAGTGTCATTCATTCCCTTTTGCTTTCTTCTATTAGCCAAAGACTTACCTTTAAACATACACTTGTATATAAGGCACACATACACAGGGACCCACGCCCATTCGCCTTCCAGATTTCCCAAGGAATTATTTGTCCATATTTTTATTTCAGATAGATCCAGAAACCTACAGCTATTAACGTGATGACCAAGTAGACTAGAAATGTGAAATGTCTAGAGCAAACAGGACATAAAACAATCACAGTTTCTAGAAAGACCATCTAAATTCAGGGTCCTTTGGGGCAGAGCTGCTGCCTGGCTGTCAAAACCGGCTCAGGATCAACGTGCTTCCCATCTCAGGGCAATCTTGCAAGTTGTCTTCATCCTGAACTGGTGCAAACTGGGGAAACTCAGTTTTCTGCAAGATATAATATTCTGAAGTGTATTCTTGTGGGTCTATCAAAACAATTAATTGTGGTTTTAGAGTCTCAACTACACTATAACTGCTGAGAGGAAAATAGTCTTTGGAAGTTTTTAACGCTGAAAGGAAGCTTTGGCTTGCTCAGAACAAATAGTTTCTGTTTTAAAAGAATCAGAAAGAGGATTCAGAATGTTTTGGTTTCTCAGCAGGGCGTATTTGGCTTGGCTAATTGATTTCCAGTCAGCTGTATGGCAGAGTAGAGGAGGAAGATTATAAATACAGGAATTGTTGAGTGACATGATATTGGTGTCTGGCAGACAGACATAAACTTGCTCGGCAAACCAGAAGCTGTGTGTCTCAGTGCGATTCTGTAATCAGACGATGAGGTTGGATGTATCTAACACCCATCTAACAAGTACAGGGCCAAACTAGTGAGATTACATCGCTCCTGGCTCATATGAAGTGTGGGAAAAACTTGTTTGCTTGTGCTTGCAACCTGCCTCGTAGACATGTCCGTGCCTTATGTCTGCTGAAGGTCACAGAGTGGCTGTGAATATGTTTAAATTGGGAAGACTGACCATGGGGACAGCTCGGTGTGAGCCATGTGCCGTGCTCCGGGACGGGGTGTCTTGCTGAGAGGTGTTTCAGGGCAGTTAGTGTTTCAGTGCTATCGGCCAGCCCATGGACTGACACGGTGCAGGGACTCTTGCAGGTTTTCTAACCTGAGCACCTGGAGAGGAGCAGCAGACTCAGGGTCCTCTGCGAGCACCAGAGTTTCTGAGTCCTGATTCGCCCGGCTTTGAGCCTAAAAAAATGACTGACTGTTGCAAGCTGAGGCTCCTTTTCATCTTTTTAAGCAGAAGCTATTAAAAATCTCCACAACTTGGTATTCAAAGTAATTTTTATTGTTGATTTTCACAGTGAAATAAATCCTGGATACAATATCAGCCTAAAATAATTAGAGATAAGTACCAAACACATACGCAACAACACTGTGTGGTGAAACATGTTCCAGGGTGTAATTTAGACAGCACTGTGTATGCTTCCTCCTTTATCCTGTCTAACAGATGGAAGCCACGCCTGAGGTTAATCTATTTCAAAACATGTCTGGATTGGATTTAATCATCTGTATATTTTCCATAAATCATCTCAGCTCAAGCTGTTTCTTTTACACATCCTAGAAAATCCAAGGTGAGCTCTCTGAGGAAAGGACTGATTACTACCAATTCAGCTAAGCAGATAATTAAGAGGTGATGGCTCTTTTGTAAAAATCTATTTCCTCTAGCCAAATGGCTGTTTCTAATTGCATAAAATATTCAGCACTATGGATTCATGATTCAGAAAGTCTTGTTGCCATTGACCAGAACCCCTTAGCAGCAGGTTCTGCACAAACCTCAAATCCTATTATTAAGAGGCAAAACCCTAAATGCAAGGTGAGAGATGGCATTAGCGTACGAGGAGCTGAGGAGGAAGGCATGAAAACCAGGAGGCAGCGTGCGGGTCTGGACGATGAGCTCTAGGTCCCTAACTGCATTTGGGTTAAGTTTGAATATTTAGCTTAATGAGCTCTGGCTCGTGCGTGCCATCATGCTCTTTGGTCTCTCTCTGGGCCTTTAAAAGCCAGTGGGATGATTGGGAGAGGGCAGAAATTCAGGCCGCTGGAAAGCTGAACGCACATGCCTACCACACCGCTTGAAGCCTTGTTATCTATAGACAGTCCTGACGTGTCAGTTAGCGTATGGCTGTTAGTATAGGATAATGCTAGCGTTAGCTGGGGAGGGGAGTTGGAAGCTGTGCTTCTTAACAGAAATTCTGCAGTGAATAAAAGGGTGTTGGAAAATGACCTCTGGTTGTGAGACACGGGGAGAGGAGGTCTGGGTTTGCAATCTTCTCTCTCGTCATCTGCAAGTTACTTCTGCATGGGTGGCCACTGGTTGGGCTGCTTCACCTGCTGCTGCTCGATGGGAGGACAATTCTCTGGAAGGAAGCATTTCACTGGCTCAGGGCAGGGAGCAGGGGTTGGCATGGGGATCTCCTTGCAGTCCTGCTTCTCTGGAGGGCACGGGGTGGGCACAGGGATCTCCTTGCACTCCTGCTTCTCCTGGGGACACGGTGCAGTTTCAGGGCATGGAACAGGGATTGGCACAGGGATCTCCTTGCATTGCTGCTCCTCCTGAGGACACGGTGCAGGTTCAGGGCATGGAACAGGGATTGGCACAGGAGTCTCCTCGCACTGCTGCTTTTCTTGGGCACATGGTGTGGGTTCAGGGCACGGAACAGGGGCTGGCACAGGCAGCTCTTTGTATGCTGATTTCTCTTCGGGGCATGGAACAGGCTCAGGGCATGGTATAGGTGGGAAAGCTGGTGGTAGCTTGCATTGCTGTTGCTGCTGCTGTTCCTGGGGTGGACACTTGAGTATTACGACCACTGGTGTTTCTCCCTTGCCTGGTTCCACCACCGGTGTTGGCAATGGCACTGTTTTTTCTGGGCATGGTACCACTACTACTGGGACTGGTTCCGGGCAAGGTGTTGGGACTTGGACTTCAGGTTGCTGCTGTGGACATGGGACCGGCTCAGTGCACGGCACAGGCTCTTGGCTTTGCTTTGAAATCGTTTTGCTCAGGCCAGGTGGGAGGCTGATTTCCTGCTTGATTTGCATTTGATTCAAAGACATCTTTGCAGGAAACAAGATTATCTGAAAGAAATGTCAGAGTGTTATTGTGTCTGCTAAATGAACTGCATTGGGATAAGGGTGAAATGATTATAAGAAACAGGAATCAGCTGCAAGAGTAAAGTTCTCTTCGTTTGCCCTTGGTTTCCCAAGGCAGGTTGGCTCAGAAAGAATTATGATTTGCTCTTTCTTTTTCATCCTGCCTTTCAGCTCCTGCTCTGACTCTGTCTTATCTTGTTCCTCCTTTCTGTTCTGCAATGTGGGACAGCCCTGTCAGGTCTAACTGAGGTAGAGCCACTCCTTTGAACTTGGAGCTGATTTACACTTCAGAGCTCTTCCTCCTGTTGCTTAGCTCTTCCCAATGTGTTAACTCCCTTTCATTTCTGTCCTGGGGAATTGATGAGAGGAGCTGGCAAATAACAGATCTGCTGGTTTGATAGCGGTTTCAGAAAGTCAAAATAATAATAAAAAAATAACGAATGCTGAAGACAAACATTTAAAAATGTTTGGTGTATCAAAAAGTAGAAAAATATAAGTCTGGGCCCAACAGGATATTTTACGTTGACAAAACTGAAATACTTCATTTGATTTTGCCCCTTTTAAAACGGTTTCCAGATTTTACTTGGAATTAGAAACCTGAGGTGCTAAAGCCTCAAGGTGGACCTCACCAGTAAGCTGATATCTTTCTGTAATATTAAGAGTCTTTACAGTAACAATAGGCCAACTCCTCCTCTTGCTCTGGTTTCACTCTGACTTCATTGATGATGTAATCATTTGAGGTTACCTGTGGCACAGTCCTTCCAACTGTCATGGAAAGCATTAGCAGTGGTGATGCGTCCCTATGTTTCTGGATTATCATGGCCACTAATAGTACATGTCAGCTTGCATGAATCAGGATAATCAGGAGGGATTTCTTCTCCCAAGGCCAGTAATGTGCAACACGCCAAATGGGTTTTCCTAACAATTTATGAAACTGCCTCTGTTTTGTGGGTTGCTGAAGACAGGCACCAGGCTCAGCTGGCCTGCTGCTGCGTCTTTGGTAAAGCCTGCATTGCTGTTTATCTAAAGACAATCTAAGGGCACAAATAAAAGGTTAGAATCACAGAAGTGTTGATTTTTAAGTTCCCTCAACACAGGACTAGCACCAACACAGATCATGTGAGAGCATGCAAGTTCGTTCTCCCTTCCCCATGTTGCCTACTCCTCTCAGCGCATCTTCAAAGCAAATTCATTCCTCTCTTCTACATCCTCCTAGATCCTCCAGATCAATATCACTTGTCTCTTGCTATTTTCTTTATAAGGACGTGATAAGATCGTAAGCCAAATTAATATATTGCTCTTGACATGGTTAGCATGAATGAGACAGCAGACTAGGAATACTTTCACCCTTCTTCTCCCTAAAGCCACTCATACTCCCAAATCTCTCTTTACAAAATAATTCTTCAATGAAATTGAAGTTTTAAAAATATTCTTGTTATAAATAGCAGAATCACAGAAAATAGGTTTGGAAGGAGCTTTAGGAGGCCATTTAGACCTTCTCCTTCCCTGAAGGCAGGATCAGTTATACTTAAACCAACATAATTTTATCTAATCTCTTCTTCAGAAAGGGTCTAATTTAGCACTTAACTATCCTCAGATTTACACACAATCTGAATTTGCCTTGCCGAGTCATTCCAAGATTGGTTGTCCTACCCCAATGCCCGAATTTCTCTTCTTTGCAGGAATCTTTTGCATATTCAGAGGTATCAAATAAAACACTTCTTTAAAGAGTCTGCCTACATTAAGCAAAATAAAATTACAGACATCACAAAAAAGTATCAGTATTCTCTGACTTACCCAACCAGTCAACAGGGAGAAGCACGAAGTCGAGTGGATGGCGGAGCACGGAGATTTGAGAACTTTTATATGGTTTCAAAGCCCTGCCTTCTGGGAATGAGTCCTCCTAGGTAATGAGCTCATTCTTTCACAACTGCCGTTGTGCATTTCCTCCACAGACTTGTTTTACACGTAGGCATTGTGAAGAGAGGCTTTTGGTGCAGAATGTGTTTTAATCCCCTTTCTGACTAATCCGATTTAACAAAAAACTTTCTGTGTGAATAAAGGTCATACCCTCAGGTTAATACATCCGTTGCAGACCCCATCGAGATCAGGGGTCTTGGTGTGGTGTCAACCAGTGTGGTTCCACTTCAACCCATGCAACTGAGTCTTTTCATGTCAGCTAATGCCCCCGCTTCTTAGGATGTATTTGTAGTTTAAGACAGGGGGCTAATCTGTACTTCTTTCACCTGCTTTTCATCAATGAATGATCTAAAATGACTTTCTTGTGATTCTCTAAACTCGTGATGGATGGGTTTATTTTTTTTTCCCATGAAGATCTTCACAGATTTCATTCTTCTTTCATTTCAGAACCGATAATTTTGAATGCATGTTATTTTCCATGGTACAGAAGATACAGCTCCCACCCATCTAAATGTGACAGAAGAGGGAACTGAGTTTATCTCCATGTATCATGTGAAAAGTAAAAGGATTTTTTAATAGTATACAAGATTTATCACATCCAAATGGAATTTGGACACTGGTCTCATTTAGGTGCCAGAATGGCATTTGAAAAGATGTTTCAATCTGCACGTGAAATAAAGGGAGCTTGAAGTGTATACAGTTTATTCCCTAAGCATTATTCCACGTAAAAAAAGTTTATTGAGTGAAAATACCTCGCTGATTATTACCCTCAAAATCTCAGGGAGCTATCAGGATACAAGCCAAACAGTCCTCATTTCTGATGGTAGGATTGTTTTCAGCAGCGGAGACGACGCGTCTCACACAGAGGTGAATTTCATCATATTTGGTTGTCTTGGGACTATCTTTGTCCTATCTCCACCATTTTACCAGAGCTCTTATCGGAGCACGCACTCCAGATGCAATCGTTGCAACAGGCTGAGCTGGTACCCATCACCGGTTGGGATTTCTGGGCTGCAAATATAAGAAGCTGTTTCTAGCTGTGGTGTAACTTCCTCTGTTAATAATCGTTTGGCAACTGAAGGACAGAACACCTGAATTTTAGGCCACATCTTCTTCTCCTATAGTGTGACTTCATGCGTGCAACTTCCTTTCTTACCTCATGGCAGGTGGGGCCCTGCCTTGCTGCCTGCCTGGCTGGCTCTGGAAGCTGCTTAGTTTTAGTCGCCGGCCTTTGCTAGCGAGGGGAATATCCCAGCCCAAGCCCTAACCCTGACGCAGGCCTCGCCTGCTGCTCTGCTGGTACAAATTGCAGTCGTAGCTCTGCTGAAGGCAGGAACTAGGACACTTGCCAGCAGCGGAGAACCTGCCTGTCTGCTTTCTAGGTAGCATCACGCTTCGCGGTTATCAAAATAGCCCTTCTGCTGAGCTATGCTCCTGGAATATAGCCCTTCAAAGCAGGAAGATAGAGGGAATAAGCTCAGACTCATTAAAAAAGTGGGGTTTATCATTGCACTTGTTGGCCTGAAGAGGACAGAGCAGCTGAGTTCAAAAGGAGACAGTGCATTTCATTAGATCAAACGCTGGATATGAATATTTGTGCAATATCCACAAGTGAATATGCAGCTTCAGGTCAGAGCTTCAGTAACCTTTGTTATGTCCATCAATTAGAGCACCTGAGAGAAACAGGGCACGTAGCACTTGTGGAGCAGTGTTGAGGCACTGTTACAGGCTGTACAGCCATGGCTCTGTGTTGAGACATTGCTTTTATTTAAGCAAGCAGTGAGGTTTCTGGAATATTTAGGTGTCAAAATTCCAGCCTCAACTTGCAACATTGAGTGATTAAAGAAAATCACTTTCCATAGCTGGAAGTGAGACGGCCTGAACCCTGTCTGGAGATCACAAGGTGGGGCTGTCCTGACCTTAAACACTGGTTTGGATCCAGATCTGGAGAGGCTCAGGGAGGTCACTTCACATCCAGTTCAGCAACCTCAGCAGAAAAATGATGGTAATTATCATCGAAGAGGCTCTGAAGTCAGCCCATGGAAAGGGAATGAATGCTTTTCTCATAGTAGAGGTGTAATTGCTTTCCCTTTCCATGTGAATTGCACAAAGACTATTTTTAGAGGCAAATGCCATATTCAGTGAAACCTGCCTTACTGAAACTTTTAGGAAACTACGGGAGAAACGTGCTTTGAGTAAGGTGGCTTTACAGTGAACGTGGAGCTAAGCAGCTCCTCAGCTCTCACCTGGTGGAGCCCAGCTCAGCTCCCAGTCGATACTGAAGTTGTACCAATAATTCCAGGGAACATAACACCACAAGTGAGAAAAATACTGGCCTGAGCCCAGCCTTCCTAGACAGAAAATGCTACTCTGTCTCCCACACAGCTTGGGTAGGTGCTGTGCTGCTATCAGCCCATCAGCGGCCTTGCAAATGCTGATCAGGTAATTAAGTCCCCAAAAGTCTAAGATGCCCTGGGAGGTATGCAGCAGTTATGCCAGCAGCTCCGAATGGAGGTCTGTAGCTGTCAACTTTATGTGGTTTATCACTGAGATGGGTGTCTCAATATCTCTAAGGGCCCTGAAGCTGTATTGCTTCAGTTTGAAAAAAAGGGTCAGCTTTTTTAGAAGTGAAGACCTCTGCAGAGAACCTCAGCTCAGGATGTGAAATGCTCCCTGTGATCCTCACCTCATGGCTGCATGGATGCTCTTTGATCTTTCTCCGTCCAGTATTTTGAACCTTTTTGCACAGAGAAAACGATCTGAGGAAACTATTGCACTCCTGCATTTCATGTCTGGTGTGATTCAGAAGTTGCTGAACTGGATCTCCTAAGACATGGCTTGCCCTGATGGCTTAATTAGACACTGTGTCATTAACACCCCATCTTGTTCTCTATTATTGTGTCTGTCATCATTTTAGGGTGGACATCTTGATTAACTCATCTCACAAGACAAAAGACATAATTACCTGTTACTGAATCTCCTAGTATCGGTCTGTCTGCCTGCAAGTCCAGTCACTAAAGCATCTTCTCTCCTAGTGCTGGACA